ATAGTGATATCTGAATTATAAAATTATAATAAAAATATTTTTATCTCAATTATGTATGCTTTTGAAGTTTATAATTCAAAAAACACCAATAATATTTATTTAAAATTTTTAATTGAATAATAATATATAACCGAATAAATATTTAAACAATTTCTTATTTTTTATAAATTTGTGGTGATCTTCTTTTATTGCCAAAATGGTTAAACACTTGTTTGTACAATGTTAAACATGTCATTGTATTTTGGTATTTTTGTAACTTATAGGATTTAAAACCTGTTGTTCTACAAAAAACTTAATATTTAAAAAGAAATTGTGTTCTAAACTTTGGAAATCATTTTTAAACTTGTTATTGTATAAATTTGTTTGTTTCGAATTATATTTTGACTTTCATTTTTTTTGTTGTACTATTGATACACAAGATTTCATAAAAACAAATTGCATATTTTAAAAGTAATATGTTATTTATTTAAATACTTTCAATTGTATTATAAAATAGTTTATAAATTAGCAACTTCTAATTCTTTTTCAATATTATAAAGAAAAAGAATAATGTAATACTTTTTTAATTAAAAATAACAATAATTTGTTTGTGTTATTATCCACAATTATTATTTGTTTTTGATAAGATTTAATATTAAAGATTTATAACTTATTGTAACGTAAATGTTGAAAAATACAATTAACCAGTTTGATAATTGAGTGATAACTTGTTATAGTTATGTACTGGTTTATAATTTATATGTATCTAATTTGAAGACATGTTAAATTAATAATTATAATTGGTTAATCTTTAATTTTTTTAATTATTATATTTTTTTCCATTTCCAAATAAAACAGGCTTAATATTTTTTCCATTAAAAATAAATCTTTTTATAAAAACATAACAACATTGAATTATGTTATTCTCTAGAAACACTTTTGACCTTGTCTAGCACTCTTTCTATGTCGAGTTCCGAATCGCAAGTGGCTTGTACCTCTGCTGCTATTCCTTCAAAGACTTGTTTGACCAACACTTTTGTAGCTGAGAAGATGACTTTTTCTTTAAGAGAACATTTTGATGGAGACCACAAGTAAAATATTATCTTTTCTCTTTTACCATTCACTTGTGTGTAATGAAGGTCGTACACACAAAACCTTGCAGCCTTTGGTGAAAGAGCCTTTGTGAAATCGTCATAAGTTTCATCATATTGACCAATTTTGTCAATGATGACTTCAGTTAGTTTGTCGTTCATTTTAAAAATGATGTATCTCCATTTGTGTGACAATTTGAACTCTTTGAACATCATAGGAACTTCATTGTTGATTGTAATGAGTGACATTTGATGTTCGAATTAATGAATTTAATGTTTAAATATTATTCATTATCAAATTTCATTTATGGAAATCAAAATTAAACTATGCATATTTTTTGTCTCTTTGTATATGCTTGCAATTGTATTAATTATGGTTGTTTTTTATAAAAATTGTTATTTGTATAAATAAAAATATTTAAAAAGCATCCAATATCGGTTTTAAATTATAAAAAAAATATTTGTGAAGTTTCCTAAAATAGAAATAGAATATCTGTTTGATTTTTGTTTCATAAAAGTTATGTTTATTAATAACAAAACTATATAAATAATAAATTTAATTATTAATATACTATTAAACAAACATCAAATAAATAAATAATTAATTAATTGATTAATTGAATAAATGTGCGTATTTCACTATAAATAAAGTTAATTTATAACTTACTTTATTAATTTCATAATAATAATGTAATAGTTAAATTAAATCAATTTTTAATAACATGTTGACTTTTTGTTTTTTGTACATCAATTAACATTAATTAATTAGGTGTTTTTTGATTTAAATATGCAATGAAAAGTGATGATTAATTTTACGCGCTAAAGTTTGCGCAGTCAGATAACTTCACTAATCGTCACAACTATTTTTCAACCTTTGTACAACAGAAAACTATTCAATCATATTATATTAAAACTGATATTTAACCAATTAAAAAAAATCCAATTTAGAGTCTAATTAATTATAATCGTAACTTAATTTATAATTAGAATTTAAATATATAATAATTAGTAATATTAAAACAATTCAATTTATTAATAGATCATTTACAAAAATATTATTTTCATTAAATGTGGGCAAACCATTGATTAAAAGTTGCTCGTAAATACATAATATAAAATATCTATATTAAATAATAATTTTAAATTTAATTTTCATTTTGTTTTGAAAATATACAATTGAAACTCATAATACTTTGTATAAACTATTATTTATATATTTAAACAAAAATTAAAATTTGTATTTCTGAATTCGTGACTTTTTTATTTTTTAAATTACTTGATTCATTTTAGAAGTTGTAAAAATATTAAACATCAGTTTTTTGAAACATAATTATTTAATATTATCAGTATCTAACATCCAATTAATTAATGTATCTAACATAAATTAAATACAATCTTTTTAAAATTCAACACACATTAAAAAGAGAATTCAAATTTATATTAACAATCTATTTGACAAATTACTTAAATTTACATTTGTATTTAGTTGTTTGTTCATCTTAAACTTGTTGGATTTCAAAACATTGACTTTTTTAAATATTTTGTAAGCATTTAAATGGTGTTGACATTTTACTTTTGTTATTATTTGTATTAATATTATAATAAATTATTAAGTTTTAGCTAAACTTTAGTGATATAATATAACCATTTTTTTATAAATTTTACAATATTGTTGTTACATTGTTTAGTTATAATAACAGTAAAACAATAATTATTAAATAACAACAATAAAATCACAATGAAATTGTTTCAAAGTTAAAACAAAAACGTAATGCAAAGTGCAAGAAATGCAAAAATCCCAAATGCGTTTTCAGTGTATTTTATATTAATATTATTAATATTAATACATTTGTTCAATTCAACAAAACTAGGTGTATCCGCATCTCCTGTGCAATCTATTGTGTTATATTTTGTTATTTTGAGTTTCCCGTCTGCCATTTCTGCCTTTTGAGAAGACGACTCGGAACTTTTAATACATTGCTTGAATATCAATTCACCAGGATGCGCGTCACTATCAGTAATAGTACAATCACTGCGATCTGAATAACTATAAACTGCATAATAAAACTCTGGCAAATCATTTCGAAAAGTATCACTTGAAGTCAGTAATTGAGTTTTTTCTAATTTCCAATCACCACATTTAGAAGAGAGAAATAATTTGATATCATCTCCATCGTCTTCTATTTTTACATAGACTCCGTTCGATTGGTAATAACACTGACCCAATTTAAAGACCATACTATACCCATTCGTTTGACTAATTAAGTATTTGGCGGAAGCCATTGCAACGAGAAAGAGAGCGAACATTGATTATTTAAGGTTAAAAAGGTGCTTTTATTACATCAAAAATTGTTAAACATTTTTTTGTTTTGAAAAAATGTGTTGATAAAAATTATCTTGAAAATTTGGTGTAAACACACTATTAAAGTTTATAAAAAACGATATTGTGTTTTTGTTAATTAACATTTATGTGTATTGATTGAAATATCGTTTTTTATATTTAAAATACTTAGCAGATTGTTTAAACAATCAATTATATAAAAATGTTAACTTAAATTGTATCATCAATTTATAAAGTAGTATTATTTAATACTTTTATTTAACTAACATTTATGTACTTTTTTGATAATATTTACATAACTCTGTGCAATTATAATATCGTTGTTGTAACTGATCGTGTTTTTATTTAAATAATAATGATATTTTCATTTCAATACTATAATGATGGTATTTTATATGATTTTATCTGATAATAATAAAAATTCAGATAATTGATGTTTAGAAAATATATATCTAATTATAATAAGTTTTTAAACATTTAACCAATCAAAAATATATATTTATATTAATTTATTTATTCAATTATTTATTTTTTATATAAATTGAATGTTTTTTATTGTAATCTCAGGAGATGAAACATAATTATTTTTATATCAATTTTATTCACATTTCCATTATTGAAAATAACTATGATTACTTTCAAACCAAATTGATGAAAAGGTATCTAATTAAATGACCTGATATTATTATTGAATTAAATCTCCGAAAATATAAAATAAACTTTTGTTTTTCATTTTTAAATATTGTTATCGTTTAAAAAAATCATAAATTATTTTTGTGAAAAATTGAGTTAATTGTGTGTTGGTGATTTTTTATTTCCAAATACACGTTTAATCTTTATTTAAACAAAAAATGTGTTTGTTTAAAATATTTTTATTTTTATCAACATTCATTATTTTTATGTTTTTTTGTTTAATAAAATTTTAAATAACTTATTGGTATAAATAAAGTCTGTCTGCAAAATATATCTTGTGGACAAAAAAGCTATAATTTATTTAAAACTTGGGCATTTTATGTAACTTAAAATAACTAAAACAATGGGGTATATTTTTATAACAGCTTTTGAAAATACGCCATTCTTTTAAAATCAAATAATCCATATAAAATTAAATATTTTGTTTGTTATTAAAATATTATTTTTTATTATGATAAAGTTTAACGTAAAGAGTAGATATTTATTAGAGACTGTGATTCAAAACGAATTATTAAATTGGATTTACACTATACCAATAGTTTATAATTCAATTAGATATAAACTATATTTTTTGTTAAATGTACATTAAATGATTTTTTAGTAATATGATATGATGTTGCTTTAATTTCAACTTTATAATACAAATACGATATGTAAATATTTTGTTAATTTTATTGTTTTAGTTCAATAAGTTTGTTGTAAACAATATTTGAATTACAATAGCATTATAGCAATTTTAATAAAACAGAAATGTTATTTATTTTTAAAAACATTTCAAAATTAAAAACATAAAATAATTACATTATCAAATCAAAATTTATTTATATAATACTCGTATATAATAATATAGTATGAATATAATTATCATTTTAAATAATAAATGTTATTTGAATAATATAATAACACGTGTTTTTCTTTTTAGTAATTTAATCTGCATTATAGCATAACATTTTTCATAAAACTCTTCTTTGTAAAATACAATTAAGTATATTTAGTTAATAAAATTAAAAATGACTTTTGATGAACTCAAATGATGTGTGTATTATTTATTCATGAATCAATATACAGTCAAAGGAGTCTATTTGTAGTAATTATAATTGTCGAAGTTGCTTATTTGTCGCACACTTGGCCAATCATTTTGGTGTACGACAATTAATTATTTTGTTTTCGAATTTGTAACTTTTGTCGATATAAAAAAGAATTTTCTATAAAATTCACTCATTTACGACAAATAGATACGTTTTTCTGCTGGGTTCACGACAAATAAACACCTTTGACTTTAACTGTATTTTTACATTATTTTTTTAACAATTTATAATATCAATAAAAATAAAGAAATTTAAAATTTTTCGACTTATTACCAACATTGATATAATATCATTATTTCAATTAAAAAAATATAATTAATAATAATATGTTATTTCAGTGTAAAACTTTGTCCTTTCTTTACCTTTGTCAGATTTTTTTGGACTATCAAAACATGAATATATAGAAAAACTATTCAAAACACTTTAAAAACATTGTTCCATATTTTTATTGGGGTTTCGCGTTTTTTCCTAATTCCCAGTTTTTTAAACTTATTTTGTGTAAAATTTTGTCAAATGGACAACCTGAATTGACAGACTTTTCAAATAAATTAATATTGAAGTATTTGGATTCGTCTTTCATCGTTTTTTTACTTTTAAATCAGTATTTTTTCCAAATTTATTACCAAACAATATGATTGTTGTTTTGTTTTCGATGAAAAACGATATAAAACCGATAAGAAAAACTTTATAATCATAATGGTATCAACTCTCGACTCTTTTCATATGATGCTAGTCTGTAAGTACTTTCAATCATTTGATGATTTTATTCAGGTAATGAGTGTTTCCAAAAAGTACAATAACATTGTTACTAAATTAAATTACAACCCAATTCCACTTACTGAAAAGACTATGCGACATTTTTCTCAACTTGAAACGTTGCACGTGTACACACACGGAGACCCAATATTCATAGAAAGATCATTTAATGCTCGAGTATACCATTACATGAAAATCAATGTACAAACTCTTGTTAAAACAACAGTCGTTTATGTACATAACTTGGCAACTGTTTTAGACCTCAAAACCGAAATTGAAAAATCTGAATATTGCCCAACATGCAGACAGCGAATTGTATTCAACAAAAATTTACTTCAAAATGATGTTAAATTGAAAGACGTTGGGATTGCCAATGAGTCAACTGTACTTCTCGCTTTATCACCACTCGAAAAACCAATCATTTTGTTGTACGACTCAAATGCGTCTGAAGAAACAAATTCAAAACAAAAAGTTGACATCCAAATTAAACTAAACAACACAACTTTTTCGTGTTTGTACCCAACACCACAATATATCGATGAACACAACAAAAAGTGCGTTTGGAGTGCTTTTTACGCGTCAAAACAACACAACAAACTTTTAAAAGATCACAAAGAAGATGATAATTTAATAATCGAAGTAAATGGTAATAAGTATGAATATTTATTTTGGGAAGGAGAAACACACACAACCTTTGATGGTCAAAAGTATGTCGCAAATAACATAGAAGGCGTGAGAGAAGTGCTTGAAAGACTTGGACTGAATTTGAGAGAGCAAAACGACTTTATTGTGTATTGGGTTAAAACACTTGTAAAATACAAGAAGATAGGAATCACTGTATGTGATGTTCAATATGAAAACGAGGCAAAGTTATCAATCAGCGGCTTTGAAAATGGAATACGGGTGTTTCTTCAATTTTTCGAAGCTGATGGTTTAATCTTGAAAAGTGTCAATGAACTTGAAAAAAGACAAAGACCAATTGGAAAGTATTTTGTTGAATGGGGCGCTTCTCTGATTTAATCCATCTTTTTTATATGTGTTAATAAACTTAATATGTATAAAGTCGGTCTGAAAAAAATGTTGTGTAATATTATAAATACAACACGAGAATTCGACACAAAACAACTTCAGTTTTATTAAATATAAAAAACAATCAAACAAATCATGTACAAAAAACACCAAGATTGGCAGACTTGAACATCAAATTGTAATTTTGTGGTCGAGCAAAAGCTGTTCCAAAATAATTTTAAACTGTGTGGACGCATGTTTGCTTTCTGAAAGAATACGTTTAAGAAGTTGAAAAAATACTCACAATTAAAAGTAAAATTATACAAATTATAAAAATGATTACCTCACAAGTCAATTATTCTTATCAAGACATGCATAACAGACTTCCGTATGGAGACGCAACTGTTTTTCTCGGTTTTGCTTTTGCTGGGATTTACAACGTTTTTTAAAGAATGTCAGAACATCACCTAATTATATTTGCAGCGTTTTTATGAAAATTGGGGTTTAAAAAAATAACACTGTCTCCAAATTTGCATGAAATTCCAGACAACTGCTTTAAAAGGTGTTTATTACTTGAAAAAAATCAATTTAGAAAAGTATATTTGTTAAACTTTTAAATAAAGTTTAACAACTTTATTTTGTTTAAAGATTGTTTTAAACCCACTGAAATTACTTTTGAAGTTAATTATGTGAAAACCGCAAAAAAATCGTTTAAAAAGGTATTTTCAAATAAATTTGTTATAGTTCCAAACTCAAAACTGTGAAATTCAAAGTAAACTCAAGTTCACCGAGTGCATTTTCTGAAAAAAAAGCACAACGTCATCACAACATACAAATACGTAATAAATTAAATTACATATGATTTTTATTCAACAACAATATTTTTGCACATCAATAATTTTTTATATAACAAATCACTATATTTGTAACACTGACGAAATTTGTTGGTTATAATTATTTAAAAATAATAACGATTTGTGAAAAGCTTCATTAATAATTAATTAGCAGTTGATGAATTCAAAATATTATCTATGTTTTAAAAAACATCTGGCTAGGCAAAAAGTTTATGAAATAAATTGTATATGACAACTTTAATTTATTAAGTTTTTTTGTAGTTTTAAAAAAATAAAAAATATGTGATGACACCCAATTATAAATATCCAAATTTAATTACTGAAATCTTGATTATATTAATTTAAAATTAAATTGATATATTGTTTAATTAATCAAGAGTCGAAACTCTAGTTATATTTTAACATAATATTTAACTTATTTGTTAAATATACTATTCAAATGTTATAAATTTGTATTGTATATTTATAAAATTTCATTTTATTTTGAATATTATATTAATACATATTTAAGGGTCGTTATTTTTGAAAAAAAAAATCAAGTTATATAT